TTATGCATATTCAATAAGTCTGAGAATCGGACAATACCTATTTTTCTCCCCCTAAATGTTAAGGGTGGTCCCACCCCAAAATTTGTCAAAAAAGACAGAAACTTGTTTTTTATGATACAGCATACAAAAATACATAAAACCCTTAATTGTCACCCCTCTACGATCAACCCCTATTTTTTATTATAGTAGATAGTTATTTTTATTGAACTAAAAAATGTTTCCTAGAAATAATATACTTGGCAAAACGACGTTTGCCGGGTCAGCTAGTACACAATTGAAATTATTTTCATACAGTCCGTATACTGTCCTGAAGCTGTGTGGTAGATTTTGTATTCAATAAATGCTGTTTTAGACCCTTCGTTTCCAATTAATGCTCGATTGGTGACCTAGATGGCCGTGGTACCCCATTACTCGCAAATAAATAATAATAATACATTTATATTTCTAGATATCTGTGTGAACTTTTTGGCAAAGCCCAAAGGCCTCTTCCAATTTCCAACATTTCTGTCTGCACTGTGCCACCCTTTGTCATGTACTTTCGGCTGTTTCCTTCTGATCTATCCACGATCTAAATTTTCGTTTTATTTATTATTATTTGTGATTTTTTTTTTCTTTTGCGTTTATTGTACATTCGGCATCAGTTTAATACTTTGTCGCTCCACTGTTACTTTTGCCATGTGCAACGCGCATTTCCATTTTGGTTCATTTATTTTCATTGTGATATCTGCTACCTTAATTATTCTTCTTAATTATGTGCTCTTTCTTTTATCTATTGTTTTCTTTCCTATGATACATCCTTACATCGATCTTTGACACACCTGTATATGCTGAGCTTTAGTGGGCGCCCAAGTTTGAGATCCATATGTTAGTACAGGTAGTAGGTACACAAGTACTGAAAATATATACTTTTAACTATAGTTACTGTAAAAGAGTAGTGTTGGCCTGGTAGCTTCAGTAAGTGTCTCATCTATGAGGTCGTAGGGTGGATCCACGTGCAGAGGATTTTCTGTGTGTGCATTTGTCTAGCTCGTACGGGTAAAGAAAACATCGTGAGGAATCTGGCTTTAGACCCGATAAGTCGACGGCGTGTCAGGCACAGAACGAAGAACAAATGATCACAAAACAGATACAGAAATCTGAAGCCCAGACCTAGGTTCTACCTAAGGTTGTAGCGCCACTGATTTTTTTTAATGAATTAATTATTTCTTATATGTTTACACAGTTTTATATGTATGTAAAGGAAGGTTTCGTCATTATACGGGTTCTATATCAAGTGTGAACCTTCAAATTGAATGAATTTTCGTAACATGTACGCGTTGGATCCAAAGTTAAACAGTTTCGTTGTACAATTATTCTGGCACGATTAAAGAAAGGGTTTTCGTCCCCCCCCTTCATTATTTATTAATTAGTTCACCACATCATATATAAGGCTATATCTACAGTATATGTTACAAGCTGTTTTCTAAAATATATGACAATTATGATAAACATAAATGTTAAATTTAAAAATACAATAAAATCATTACACTTCCAATTTTTGATTTTAATAGTATTTTTGTTCATGTTAAGCAAAAAATAACTAGTAAAACGTCGGGTTAGGTTATCAAGTTTTTTTTATAGAACAGGGGGCAAACGAGCAGGATGTTCAGTGATACCGCCGCCCATGCACTTTCAATGCCAGAGGGCTCGCGAGTGCATTGCCGGCCTTTTAAGAATTGGTACGCTCTTTTCTTGAAGGACCCTAGGTAGAAATGGCACTAAACAATGATTTTTTTAAATTGATCAGCCCACTACCGAGCTAAGCTTTGTTATTACAAGTGGTTTTTTATATTCGCGAAGAATTCGAATGAGAGGTGCCTGAATTCCTAGGTTGGCTTTTGCAGACGGAATTAGGAAAATTCTGCTGATTTTAAACCTTGGGAATAAGTAACGAACAACAGTGTTAATGTTCTGTAAGAAGTTACTGTTCTGTATTTAACAATTTGTATACGAACATCTTATTTATAAAAACTTCAGTAGGTACTCATTCTTTATTCATCATTTTCATCACATAATAAAATTAAAATACGATTTGCCTACACACGAGGCGATCAAGGGTGCTGCCCTCCACTTCCCCGATATTGCCTCTGATTTTAGACGCTTTAAGACGATTTGTAATTAAATATGATCAAAGCATTTAGGTATAATCAGAATTGAGCAATTCTGTAACGATAGTAGTGTTAGTGTAGTAGATAAGGTGGCAAATCTCATATCACCTCGATGTCCGACGTTTCACAACTGAGCGGTTTTCAATGTACTTTACCGCGCACCATTATGTGGAACCAGGTGCCCACTGAAGTATGTCGAAAAAGTGCGTACCAATTCTTAACAGGCAACGCACTTGCGAGCCTTCTGGCAGTGTGAGTTAACATCAGATGAGGCTGTTCCTATTGCCCTGAGGTCATGTGCTTGAATACTCTGACTCTTAGGATAGGAAAACATTGTGATTATCACGCAGGTTTCACCCGTATCATCTCGACCTCCGTCGTTCCTAAACTGAGCGTTTTTTTTGCCGTGCACCACTACTATGTGGAACCAGCTGCCCACTGAAGTATTTCCAAACCAATTCGACTAAAGGACCTTCAAAAAAAGGGTACCAATTACTTACTTACTTACTTACGTACTTAAAAGACCGGTAACGCACTTGCGAGCCATCTGGCAGTAAGAGTGTCCATGGGTATAGTGATACCCAGGTTAAGTGTAACATCAGGTGGTCCTCCTGCTCGTTTGTTCTATATAAAAAAAATTACGTGCACTGCACTGCACACAGAACCAGAAACAAGTATGATATAATATATTATATTACAAAGTCCTAACCTAATTTTCGAAAAATATTACCGCGTATTATCTTTGTGTATGTGATTTATCTACGTATGAAGTAATACGTCACTATCGTTCAGAAAAAACACTTCCACATATCATTAAGTTTTAAGGTCATAAGAAAAACTATTCATATTAAATCTACCTTGAGAACACTTTAAAATATGTATTTATGTATAATGTTAAATAGTGAAATTGTTTTGTTTTCTTTAACAACTAAAAATAAATCAGTGGCTTTTTAGGTCTGAGATTTCTGTATGTTTCATGATAATTTGTCAATCTAATAGGCAAGTAGGTGATCAGCCTCCTTTGACACGCGCCGTCGACTTTTTGGTCTAAGGCAAGCCGGTTTGTTCACGACGTTTTCCTTCATACGAGCGAATGTTAAATGCGCATATGGAAAGTCCATCGGCGCACAGCCGGGGATCGAACCTGCGATCTCTGGGATGAGAGTCGCACGCTGAAGCCTATAGGCCAACACTGCGATTTCTTTACAATTAATTTCTTGAAATGAAAAATTCTACTATTGACCTATGATATTTATTTTGTGAAGTAAAAAATTGACTATTTTTTAACTAGTTTTAACTAGTTTGGTTATATTTGACTTTGATTCGCAGTCTGATATACGAAACAAGTACATGGGGCCTTGACAAAGGCTGTCATGCCAAAGGATATCCGATTTGTGACTAAGCTATTCGTAAGTGACGCGTTCACACATGACTCAGCGTGATTTCTCCCCTGCCAATAATATTAGCAATTTTTTCTTACTGGCCAGTGTTTTTGTATAAAATTAAAAAACAAAACTATTAATTTGGAACTCTGTAATTTCTGGTTTATAAATGCTTTTGCTTTTAATTTAAAAACACACGGGTTCTATATTCGAATTTTAAATGCTGTTTGTCGTAGATTATACGCTTCTATAGATACATTTCATTTAAAATCTGAATAATTCAAAAGTATACAATTAGAACTTATGGCCAACTTTAATGGAAGTAACGTCACATCCGCTCCAGATGTTTGGATAGCTGGAATGGTGTACTTTTATCTGGAAATTAGTTCATTAATTAGAACACTTTGCAGTTTCAGCGCTATAAGTAAACAAGTTTTTATATTACTATACCTTTTTTAAATATTACTAAGTTTGTTTGGTTGAACGTTCGAATTTCCGTAACTATTCGTTCAAAGTAAAACAAAATAGTTTGATTTTTCGTGGAAAGCAAAATACATATATGAGAGGAGCAATAAATTTTTTGCAAAAACTGACGAGACGGCATGTGTGGAGTACACTTACAAATTACGCCGCTCGAATTATATCATAGCATAGGTACCTTCAAGGTTATAGGCATAGCCCCGTGATTGCAAAGGCGTAATCGAATTAATATCTTACCACAATGCAGTTTAGTCAAAAATTACACTTTACAAATAGAAAAAAGTGTTTGACAGTTAGAGATGTTCTAGTAGTGAAATACAGTTAAAACGTCGGCAAACAGGATTAAATACAGCCTAGGATTGACCTAAGTTGTCAGGCTAAGGTTACTTTTCAAATGTCTAACGCACAATATGTTTCAGTATAGATTTTTAAAAAATAGTACAAGTTTAAATATAACTAAGAAATTATTTATTGGTATAAATAATTACGCTGTCATTTTACTCTTAATTGCGACCAATTATAGATTAGAAGGTTACGTTAAAGGGCCTCAATAATATACAAAAGAAATTTTAAACAGAGGATAAATTATGTACAGACTATACAATACTCTTATAGGTACGGTACCAAAGACTAAAAATTTATAGACGCTTTTTATATATATTTTGGCAGCCCTAGCGAAGGCCTCGCACGCCAATAAACCACCCAGTATTATCAAACAATATTATTTATTAGAACTCCAAAATGTTTAAATAGCAGCCATTGTTGTAATATATGGGAATGCTATTGTCTGTGCTGCGTCATTGCATTTATCTGTGACCTCTATAGTCTATATTATTGGCGCCATTTTACCTGTTAAGGGTCACGTTATTTGCATTCGTGAACCGGACAATCAGATGAAAATGTTATTTTTATAGAAAAATAAATAGTACTTTATTACTTGTAGTTATTAAATCGCATTTATAAGATTTTGTTTTTTCTTTTCAGTGAGAAAATGAATACCATAGATATAGTGAACGAGTTTTTAGATGACTTACGGTGAGTTAGTTTGAGTATTAAACTAACCACAAACATTAATAACTACTAATATAAAATAAAAATATAGCATTACGCATGAAATTAACAACTAACCCTTAATTATGTAATACAGCTTAAATTTGTTGTATATATAACTAACACTTTAGGTTCAGTTCCTCGATACCACCTAAGTAAATACAGTATGTCACGATGTTAACTTGTTAATTTAATAATAACACGCCAAAAACAAAAACTGAATCAGTACGTATTTGCCTTATTTGAAGATTGCACATTGTAAGAAAAATAGGCGGGAAAGTTAAGTTAGTGTTTAATTCTTAAGTTATACGTTGCGGTTCTATTTAAATTTCGAACCGATTTTGTAAAAACAATTTTAGTTTTTTGTTTTTTAATTGATGTGGAATTTTGTATAATTTTATCAGTTCTAGTCTTATCTGTGTTTTTTATTTTATTAAAGTCGCGTAATAATAGTACTATTTTTGAATAGACTCTGATAATAGTGTTTATGGCTAGAAACTTGGAAGATCTGTATATTTTCAAAAGAATTTTTTTACGATATCTCCTCTATGCCCAACAGTCTAATCTAACTTCCGGTAAAACGCGAATTAAAAAAATTGCCGATGTCATAAAAACGAATACAGAGCATAAAGTCTATATGGATACACTTAATGATGATATAATAAAGAACATCGAAGTGTTGCCATTATTTAATAAGGAGTGCAGTTATAAAATGGAACATAAATTTTGTTTTCCCGCCGGCTGTGTTGTCATACCTAACATGATGAATTGGTAAGTGTCTATGGGTGGTAATAAATACTAATTACTAATAACACGTTTATTTTACAATTGCACCAGTTATATGTATATGTCAATAAAAGCATTCAACTGAGGTTCCTTCAAGAAATAAACATACCAATTCTTAAAAGACCTTTGCAAGTCCTCTGGCAATGTAAGTGTCTATGGGCGGCGGTATCACATAACATCAGTTGACCCTCCTGCATGTTTGTCTAAAAATCACATTTTTTATTAAATATTGTTTTGCCTCAACAATATGGTGGGCGGATATTTTAATCCCATTGTATTATTATTTAACTATTAAATAAAAACAATTTATGTTTGGCTAAGCTAAGTCTAAAGGTCAGATTCATTGTCAAAACTTCGCGCGATTGGGCATGTATTAGACGGCCCGTGTCAAGTACAGAAGGCTGATCACCTACTATTAGAAAAAACAAATAATCACGAAACAGATACAAAAACCCAAGGCTTTGTAAATTTCTGCCGTATTTTCAAATTAAAAACATATTCTTTAGTATTCACAAGTGTTAAAAATGATGCTACAACCTTAGATTCCTGTATCCTAATAGGCAAAAAGTGAAGCAAAAACGATGTCGACTTTTTGGGATGTTTTCCTTTACCGTACAGTTTTTCCGGGAAAATCTTGAGCATAGCCGTGGTTTCAACCTTCGACGTCAGGAACGAGGATGGCTCAAACCGCTAGACGCTGCTGTTCTTATGTTCTCTTTATATTTAATACTCTTATTTAAAGTCTTAATAAAATCGTGTAAGCGTTACTTGTATGAGTGAGACTAATGACGTGAAACGCTCACTTAATATTTTGTCACGCGTGAGCTGTTCTGTGGTATCGGATGTTATTAGTAATTTTCCTAACATTTCACTTTAAAACGTAAATATAGCATTGGAGAAGCGTCGTGTAGAACAATACTAAAATTTAATACTTTACTTATACACAGAATTAAATGACGTTCGCATTTGCTTTTTTCTTCTTCTTCTTCGTAGTTCTTACTGAGGTCATGCCCACACCGCTCTATCCTCAGCTTGGTTCGGGGGAATAGGGATGTTGATACCCATAATTGTCTTTATTTGGTCTGACACTACAAATACTCTTACACATTAATATTAGAAGAGATATAACAAAAGAGGATGACACATTTAAGAAACAGAGAACAGCACAAATGTGTCATTAATACTAAACCTTAATAGTGATAATTACAAAATATTTATCTATATTAAACTATTTCCGCATTTTATTATTTTAAATTATTTCATTAGAATTTTATTGATAAGAATTTTATAATGCTCATTAAATTTGATACCTGGTATATATCGATGACAAACATATCTTGATAATATTACCTGATTTCCGATGCGTAATCACTATGAAAATGATTATTTAAAAAGCCGGTATTATTATTTAAACACTGGCACAATAAAGAAAACGAAGAAACTTTGTGTTGTCTTTGCCACCAAAATAAGAGCCAAAGAAAATTCCCTCTGAACTCAAGTTTACCCTAAACCCCCAATTGGCCATTACCCAATACAGGTATTATACGATTTATTGCTACAACACGACACCATCTCAAAAAAAAACAATCGAAACTTCTAGAAAAATTTAACTTCCTTTTTTCTGCCTACCAGACTCGTAATCGTGCTTTGTTCATGTTCCGCACATCAACACTGATTCAAAAAACTCAGTTTTATATCGCGCAGCCCGGACATACAACGACCAATATTTAAGCCTTGACTTGTTTAAGCTATCGCGGAATATGGTTAAAACGAGTATTAAGATTATCCATAGCGCAAAATACACACCTTCACATACTTACCCTTACTTTTACACCATCACACAACACAGCCTAATGAGGTACCACTTAGTTAAATGTATTGAATAATTTTTAATATTTGTTTCCTTTTGTAAATTTTTGAACCTTTCTGTAGTTAAATATTATGTATTTCATCTCTGGCTATATTTTTGTGTAATTGTTTGTTATTATATATTATTTTTGTTAGCTGTAGGATTACGAAACAAATAAATAAATAGCTATAAATAATAATAAGCCTTTATTCATTAACATATTGACATACATTTAACAAAAATAGATATAAATCAAATTTTACTACTTTACGACGCGGCCTCTGTATGGGAGAAGGCGGACGGCGGCGGCTATTTTTTCCAGCTACCCTTTCGATCCTGTCGGCCCATCGCTCTATTCGTCTGCCCTTGTTCCATTTGGACCAGTCCCTTCGATTACTATTTTAGAGCATCTGTCATCTGAATAACGGGCTACATTGCCCCATCCTCATTTAAGTTGTAGGGAATGTTGCACAGTATCAATTATTTTTATTTGTCGCGAATACTTTGCGACTATCACCCACGTAGTCCTGGAATGCGAGGCTGTGGCTAATCAACGTGCAGAAATCGTCGAAACAGTGAGGTCGCTCCGGGAAGCCTGTGAAGTGCCCAGGAGACTTCTGTGCTTCTGGAAGGAGCTAGGCTGGCTAAATTAGCCAGGAGTTAACTCACAACGGACCAATTAAGTGTCTAATTGCGGAAATGAGTCCACCATCCCTAACCCAAACCTACATTGCGACTGAGGCGCAAACTAGCTGCTCTGGTTTCTGGTGAATGAGAGCTGTGGAACAGTCTGCTCCTCAGCATAATGCTGAGCCAGGGCCAATAACAACCACAGCACACACACATATACATAGAACACACATAGACACGTGAAACCGAAAGGGATTTTTTTTTGTTATCTCTCACAAAATTTTTTATTTGTGTGTTTTTGTTAGTAATAAATAATATGTTGTTTGTCGTGTAATTGAATAGGTATACATATATTACGTACACGGCTATAAAAACATTTCCCTCTCTGTCAAGAGCCGTGACCCATATATCAAAGGTACTTTTAGCGATTTGGGGGATGGGTAGGCTTTTTACAGTTCTATATTTAGGTAGCCAACAGATTTTATAAAAATTACAAAACCAAATGTATAATAATTAACAATGAATTTCCATAAACGGCCTACGTGTAAAATAAAAAAAATAAAATAAAAATAAAATATGTTTACTATGGAACATAAGATACATGTATCACTTATTCCACGTCATTAAATTTGAAGGCATCCCTACACATCAGCAAAGAAGACAGAGGGTGTAGGCCGAGAGAAAAAGCCGGCGTAAAAAACTCTCGGTACTCTTTGTGTGTGTGTATGTATTTATGTGTGTGTGCGGGTTAGTGTTGACTATTTAGTTAATAAATCATTTGTTGCAAGTCTTGGATGTCAAATTGATTAAATAAATAATACTGGGCACAAATAAACCAACAAAATTAAAAAAAATAACTTTATGGCTAAGTGCTTTATAGTCAAGGAGGCTCACAAAATACTGTTTTTGCGTGCGCAATTTAAGTTATTTTTGGTATACCCGCAATATTATTTAATTGCAAATTATTTGTTTATTATTTATTTCTTATTGTGCTCTAAGTTTAATTATAAAATGTAAGTGATATTTAGAAATTATTGTCAAATAGCGTTAACATGTCAAAAGGAAGAGACAAGCTGCCCATGACACAAGGAATCCTGGTGTGGGGATGTAACGACGAACGATGTAAATACCTTCAAGGACTAAGGGGGCGTCCATAAATTACGTGAGGTGTTTTTTTAAATTTCCTGTGACTCCCTCCCCCCCTGGTGAGATGTCGTGAGATTTTAATCAACCCCCTCCCCCACCCCCAATCTCACGTGAGATTTTTCAAAATGTGGGTTTCTTACGGATTGTTATTGTAAAAAGAAAAAAAATTGCTTCGTGCTTTTATATAGACTAAAACAAAATAAGTGAAATGTTGAGCTTAGGTATGGAATTAGCGGGAAGTTGCAGAGATGGCCTTTTGGGTCAACCGTTTTCCAAAAAATTTTTTTCAATCAGAAAAAAAATTGCGTGATATTTGTCGAGACCCCCCTCTCTCCAACGTAAGATTAAATGAGATTTGACTTGACCCCCTCCCCCTTAAACACCTCACGTAATTTATGGACGCCCCCTAATACTTGGAGGATAATGTGGGTAATCCTATATTTTTATAAAAAATAACAGCTGTTTTTCACTCTGAACATTAGTGCTATGTTTATAAGACAGTTGTTTACCTTGGCCTGTATTCTAAAACGTCAAGGTTAAGTCTAGTTTCAGGACCTGTCCAAACTTTTTTTTCTGTATGAAGTTTGACATATTTGACAGCGCTCTATTTTGTTGTCTGAATGAAGTTTATTATGTATTGTATGTAAGAATAATAAAAATAGTCTAGTACTTACGTTAAAAATGCCCTTTCTATAGAAAATGTGTCGACTCGTGTCAATTGCAATTCCTATGTATTTATTTTGTATTTTTTTATCTGTAGATAAATTGGCGTTCGAAGTTTAATATCGTGAGCGTAAAAGCACTTGTCGTGACCGGAACTTATTTTTTTTGTTTTTTTTTTTTTTTTTTTTTTTTTTTTTTTTTTTTTTTTTTTTTTTTTTTTTTTTTTTTTTTTTTTTTTTTTTTTTTTTTTTTTTTTTTTTTTTTTTTTTTTTTTTTTTTTTTTTTTTTTTTTTTTTTTTTTTTTTTTTTTTTTTTTTTTTTTTTTTTTTTTTTTTTTTTTTTTTTTTTGTTTTTTTTTTTTTTTTTTTTTTTTTGTTTTTTTTTTTTTTTTTTTTTTTTTTTTTTTTTTTTTTTTTTAAAATTATAAACTGAATTTTGATCAAAATTCAAAAATGGAATTCACTATGCCATTTCCGTTCAATCGTAGAACGTTTACATATATTACACATTCACAGTGTTGGCCTAGTGGCGTATAAACTCAAAAACGATTGGACTGATTTCAATAATTCTTTCACCATTAGAACGCTACATAATCCCCGAGTAAAATATACTATATTTAATTTTAAAAATATGTCCTGAATCATGGCCTAAATTGTGTTCGTGATAAAAATTTGCGTGTATTACTCATTCTCAATCGATAGTTACAAAAGATGTTATTTTTATAAAACTATGTGACGACGGCTTATAATCTTATCAGGCTCGTGACAGTCAGTATTCGTTAAGGTGTAACCTAGGTGAGTTGCGTGAAATATTTACGGTATTTAAATATTTTCTCATTTTTCCAAATATAATCATACAATTTTTCTGTTAAGTGAGAAAAGTGGTTACGTAATATGAAAGTGAAATTGTGAATGTGTATTAAAAAAAAAAACTGTGGCGCAACAACCTTTTTAGCTCTGGGCCTCAGATTTCTGTATCATGATCATTTGTCAATCTAATAGGCTTCCTGTGCCTTACACATGCTGTCGACTTTTTTGGCGTATTTTGAGTATGTTAAATGCGAAAGAAAAAAAGTCTATTGGTGCTCAACCGGGAATCGAACCTACGATCTCAGGGATAAGAGTTGCACGCTGAAGCCACTAGGCCAACACTTCTCATGTATAAATGTGTAATACCTCTATTTAAACGTTTTACGATTGAACGGAAACGGCATAAAAATTCCATTTTTGAATTTTGCTCAATATTCAGAAAGTTTCTAATTTTAATAAGTTCCGGTTACAAGTGTTTTTACATTTACGATTTTAAACTTCGAACGCGAATTTATCTGCAGATAAAAAATCTATGATAACTCCAGTAATTATGTAATGTCTATATAGTAACTTATTGAATTAAAGTGTGTACGTGATTCAAGTGTAGGTAGTATTAATAAAAAAAACTTTAAATGAATGTATTCGTCTTTCTCTTATGTTTACGCTTTGATTACAGAAAGACAATGCTTTATCTAGCTTTATAAAACAGATACTATTTGTGAATAAGGAAAACTAATTTGATAACAAAATTTGTTTTTTTTTAATATCCTCAATTGTTTTTGGGTAGGACTGCACGGTATGGGCATTTTTATAAATATTTTAATTAATATAGCGTATAGCATAATGTAGCATTTCAATGGTGAAAGAATTTCAGAAATCAGCCAGTCGTTTTTGAGTTTATTCATTACAAGGATACAATAATAATAAACATCGACTTTAGAAGGAATAATTTCATATTTTTTGGATTTAGAACTCTCTTTTTCTTATTATCTTTGGATATCGCCTTTCCAACAAAAATAATCATCAAAAAGGGTTCTTAAACGACGAAGTAATCCGCGGAAACAACAAAAATAATAATATAAATAGATTTTGATGTCGGTTAAAAATACTATTTTGTATAATCTATCATTTATTTTAATAATCTAGGATTATTATCTATAATAACGTATAGACATAGACACAATATAGAAACGCGTTTCGTTTTTTAAATTTAACACGTGAAAATATTTAAAGTGGCAACGTGTCATTGTCACAATTTGAGTTTTATCTATTCTCGTTAATAGAATTTTTATCAGGAAATGACATAATTGCTTCGTAAATAAGATAGTAGTTATTTGATTGATTTGAATGGACTTGTCACATTAGCCGAATTTTTTATTTAGATTTTTTTATGTAATTGGACGCAAACGGGCAGGGGGCTCACCTGGTGTTAAGTGATACCGGCACCATTGCCAGAATGCGTTGGCGGCCCTAAGTCGAATTGGTTAGGAAATACTTGAATGGGCAGCTGGTTCCACATAGTGGTAGTGCGCGGCAAAAAGTGCCTTAAAAACGCGCACGTTGTGGAACGACCCACGTCGTGGTGACACGGCCTAATGTTCAGTGTTAAAAACAGCCGTTATTTTTATAGAAAAATACGATTACCCGCATTATAGTCAAAATATTAGTCCTTGAAGGTATTACATCGCGTTTCAAACGTTTGACCGAGTCCCTTGGAAATTGAATGAATTTCGTTGTAGACAGAAATTATGATTTAAGCAAAAAAATAAAAAACTTTATTAAAATAAAGTGCGTTGCCGGCCTATCAAGAATTTGTACGCTCTTTTCTTGATATTTAAGTGGGCAGCTTATTCCACATTATAACACGAGTCAGTTTGGTGACGGTAGTTGGAGGGATGTTCACTTTGTTTGAAGGTGTCAGCATATAACTAATATAAATTTCAGGGTGGGGTTGCGACGCTGGACTAACAAAAAAACTAACTTATGTACTTGACTATCCCACTTCGGGTGTTAGTTTGACATAAATTCGTAAACAGATTGAAAAACTATGGCACATGCTCAAGATTCTTAATAATATGTTTATATATTTCTTAAAATGTGTTTTGAATTCATTTAAATTATTAAAAGCGAACAGTATATACTACTCGTAATAGTTACAAATATACCTAAAGTGGGTCTTTTAATAAAAACACAGATATGTATGTAAAAAGATTAAAAATAGGCAATTTGAGAAATATTGGTTAGAGTACAAACAATATTTAAAGTAAAAATAAAAAAATAAAGCGACTCATTTATAATTTTATTTTCCAGCGGCGGTAGAATGGTCGACACGCCAACAGTTCGAGTGGAGCAGGGCCAGCTGCAGGGCAAGCTAGTCAACGGGCCCTCGGGGAAGGGGTTCTACAGCTTCCAGGGTATACCTTATGCTGCACCACCACTCGGATCTTTGAGGTTTAAGGTGGGTGCTTTCAATGTTAGGAATAGTGGTTAATGTCACTTAACTGAGGTCGCTTTTGAGGTAGCTGTATAGAACCAGAACCGAATACAGTCGCAAAATTACAAGCTATTTCGGAGCAAGTCTTTACAACAGCTTGTCTCCTGAGATTCAGGAAGTGGTAGAAGTGAATTCGTTTCTAATAAGTCTGCCAAGTCTTGTGGTAGATGGACTCTAATGTAATAACAGCGTACGATGGTAGCGTGATATATTTTATATTAGTGTGATTTGTGTGTCAAAGAAGGCTGAGCACCTACTGGTCTATAAAAATAAATTGGCCAGCGAAACATGTAGTCCATTGAAATGTTACAATTTGAGGGCCGAACTCAATTTTTTTTAGAGGAAGCAATTGTTTATGGGACATGTAGGGGGGGTCAATACAAGATTAAACCCAAGTTGGTCCCCGGCCGCCATCTTGGAAAAAGGGGGAAAACACGTTTTTGGATATATCCATCGTACAAAAATATTGTATGGACATATTTTGTAGCAAATCGCTTTGCCTACAATTATGTCTATGACGTGACTTTTTATTGCGTCCTCTTAAAAATATTTAGCCCATGTAACATTTTAATGGACTAATGCTATCTCATACATTACTGATTTAGCAGTGATAATGGAAATTAATTAATTAATTAATTGCGTAAAACAGTAAGAACATTATATAACTTTGACAGTCATATCAAGAGCTGGTAGTGAAATTAATGTTCTGTTAGTACATACTCGAGTTCTTTTGTTATTTTTGTTCCCTTTTTGTAATTTTTGCTTTTTGCATTATGCTCATGCCACACATAAGCCTCGAAAGTGCGTACAGTCTTCTGGTAGTGACGATTATTTAAATGATCCTAATCCTTGAGATTGATTGCTCCAGTTCAAACAATATGTATGACTGAAAACTTAGCGATTAAAAAGAGTGGCGCAGAGTTTCTTGCCAGTTATTCTTGTCCGCTCTACGCTCTTGACTTGCGAACTGGTAGGAAATGTAAATTTAAAATCAATTTAACATCTTTTCTGTATATTATTTTGAGTTTAAGTTTATTATCTCTGGTTAAAAACAAGAACACTATGACTATAAGAAAGAGACTGCAATATTTATTTAAAGCAAGTTTTAAGAAATCTTATCTGAGAAAAATCACAAAGGAATTGTATTACATAAGACTGCAGCTACTGGAACTAACCCAAGTAACACTGGCAACATATCAAATGACTATATGAACTGAAGTGGCCTCTACTACATTATTTATACGAATACGTAAGGGATCTTTGCTCCAATTCCGTAACAAGTGTCGCCTCTTTCACTCCACCATTTCACACAAGCATATATGGTGGGGCTCACGTTGATTAAACTAATCTTAAAAAACATAATGAGCCGTTCAATTAACAGCCTAGCCTTTTAACTAAACAGCGCCGTTTGACTAGTGGCCTTAAAATATTAGCTGTAGCGTTTGTAACAACATTTAATAAACTGGCTGGCTAATGTATAAGCCATTTGTACGATAGAGTGACCATCTGAATGAAATCAAAAAGATGTAACATGTGACATAATAAATATTCTATAATAATAGTCACAGCTAAATTCACATTATTATTGGCACTACACTCTTCCATTGTCCTTGTTGTGGTTTGCCGAAGCCATATTAACAGTTTGAAGAGGTTCGTTTTGAGTTTGAGAGTGGCAGAAAGTGGAACTAAATTTAAAAAAACAGTCAACAAGCTAGGCGAGTAATAGAACGTCATCGATCAAGTCATTTGCCTAGCTTTTTGATCAACTGGCTGAATATCTTTAAGGCCGCTAGTTAAACGGCGGCGTTAAGAGGCTAGGCTGTTAATTTAACGGCTGCTACATTGAGCTCAGATTAGGAGTAAAACTATAACTCGTTTTGAATGCTATATAGTAGTCATGGTCAGCGACCGACCAAGGTTAGAAGATTAAATGTAATAATTGCGTAAATTAACGAAAACATTAATTTGAAATTATGACATTTTTTAATTTTCTATTTATTTATACTATGTAGGTCAAGAATATTGTAAATGTTTGGAACCACTTTAAAAATACTTAAACTACAGATATGTTTGTTCATATAAATACATAGACATACATAATGTGTATTGTTTTATTTCATAAAATAAGACATAATTATATTTAATTGTTAAAATATCGCTTAATGTTTTATTGCTTAAACTAATACTTCAATACAACTTTAGATTAGGACTTAAATCAGATTAATTGCGATAAACTTGTTTAATCCACATTCGTAAATCGTTTATACCTACAACAAAAATACCTACGAAGGTCATCAACTAGAGATTTCTTATATACGAGTATCCCCAATAGTCCCAGTAGAACCCTGTCTTCGCGTCTTTAAACCCGACTTGAAGAGTTTCTCAAATTGTAAAAGTTACAAATCTGATCATGGGATTCTGGACAAGATAATTTATTGAGGTTCGTTGAAGCGATTAGGGTTTAAAATTTCGTAGAGTACGTAATGATGAGCTACAGATCGGAACCCGAGCAGTTTTTATCGAATAGAGAAAACAATCATAGCACTCCCTTTCGTCATTGCGAGATTTTTGCATATTATAGAAGTAAACTGTTTCAGATTTTAAGTGAAATTTATAAAGATCTGGAACCTTGCTCGTTTTCGTTTTTCTCTCATTTCTATGCCCACAAGAGATATATCGGTGGTAGCATTGTTTCCTTTCTCGATAAATGGACGGACACAAAAATAATTAGAGATTAGCGCGATCATCAATAATCAATATACACAGACGCTTTATTTACCTATGTTAATGAGACGAATCCCTGAACATTGTAATTAGTTTAATTTATTGAAATAACACAACATATTACTAACAGAAAATAAAGCCGGTGGCGCTACAACCTTGTTAGGTCTGGTCCTCAGATTTTAGCCTCTTTCTCATTTCTAATAGGTATATAACATATAAATATAAGTGATCAGGCTTCTGTTGACACACGCCGTCGACATTTTGGGTCTAGGGCAAGTCGGTTTCCTCACGATGTTTTTCTTTACCGATCGAGCGAATGTTAGATGCGCATAGAAATAAAGTCCCGTGCCCAGCCGGGGATTGAACCTACGACCTCAGGGATGAGAGTAGCACGTTGAAGCCACTAGACCAACACTGCTGAACTTCTACCTTACTAAACGAAAGGCAAATGAAATAAGAAACAATTTACTGCATTTTGAGGTTCAAAGCAATTTACGTAAACCCCTATAGTAATAATAATAATAATAGCAGCAGTAAATAATAAGCAGAGACGAGTGTATAGTATTTTAGAATAAATTCAGTGTTTTAAGTCGTATTAATGCAGTGGAATGGCCTCTCTCACATTGAACTAGCGTGATTTGTAAGTTTTCACTACGTCTAATAATATACATGTAATTTTTGGGTAAAAACTTGTGCTTAGTGCATAAAACAATTTTCAATCTGTATTATAAGGGATCGCATTGAAACGAAGAAACCATTTAATTGTTTAAAGACTTTAATTTCTTAAAAAGACAAAAAATGTCACTAACATGAGAATAATACTCTAGATAAACATAACATTGTAGTCGTTCTTAAAATAATCACAATAAAAGATAGCCGTACATGCAATAAACTTAAAAATAAAAGTAACCAAAGAAATATGAATTAAAAGTAATTAAAAGAAATTAATTTAAAAGTAATTTTGTCTAACATATTCACTAAGCTTCGATTTGAATGAATTGATAGAGGTAAATTTTTTGTTATATCTGTGGGTAGTTTAAATATTCACTGCGTATTTATATTTTCGTTGTGTTTATTGTAATCATGCCTCATTGGAGGAACACGTAAAAGCGAAATATTCTAACTAGTCATAAAACTTAAGATGCTATTACGAATACATTTTTTTTGTTATTAAACCCCAGATTGAAGACAGCAGTGTTTGTATTAAATGCTGTTATCCATTTTGATTTCCACATAGAAAGGCCACTCAATATTGTGAGGAGGATATCCATAATTGCTCCCCTCACACTATAACAGCCTGGCCACGGGACATTCGCCGACGCGAATATTCGCGCGGTGCGAACCGCGATGCGTCTAGCGACTGAAATAAACTCATAGCAATGTACTAATCAAGCCACGCGCAACGGAGACCAGCGATGCGACCGGCGAAATGTACCCAGCGAATCGCGCGGGCGACTGACATCGCGACGGGCGAGCGAAACAAATGCATGAATCAGTACGGTGCAAGCCACGGAGTCGAGCGGCAGTCGCGGCGAATAGAGAAGGGAATAAATACGTAGTTGGTCCCAAAGTTCTGTCACTGGCACATTATTTTTAAATTACGAACATGATTTTATAAAAAAATTATTGCATTCTATTTTTGATTGTTTGACTATTGTTTTAAAACAAAAAACAATCACTTTCCGTAAATTTTCAAGATGGAGTGGACATTGAAAGAAAACCGAATAGCTGTTATTGCGTTGCACCGCTGTGGGCACTCGGCGAGTACCATTTTCAAGTTGATCAAAAATTTAAATATAACGCTTAGGTTTGTGTACCGTACTATTGATAGGTACAATGAAGTCTCCAGTGTTGAGGACAAGAAAAGAACTGGCCGGCCACGCTCCGCAAGGACACCAGCAGTGATCAAATCTATCAAGGCGCGGATAGCAAGAAATCCTGTCCGAAAACAGAAGTTGATGGCTTTGCAGATGGGTGTCAGTAGGAAAACAGTAAAAAAGGTTTTAAATGAAGATCTTGGTCTACGGGCATACAAAAGAAAGAGTGGGCACCTACTTAATGCTCGTCTAAAAGCAATAAGGCTTAAGAGATCGCGGGGTTTGTTAAAGCGGTACGCGAAAAACCGACACCGTGATATCCTCTTTACGGACGAAAAATTTTTCGATATTGAAGAGAAGTACAATAAACAGAATGATAGAGTGTACGCTAGGAGTTCTGAAGAAGCTGGAAATAAAGTTCCGAGGGTGCAACATGGACATCATCCATCATCAGTAATGGTCTGGTTGGGAGTGTCCTATTACGGGCCAACTGAGGTTCATTTTTGGAGGAAAAGGGGTCAAAACCAGTGCAAAAGTGTATCAAGACACGGTTTTGGACCAGCTTGTCAAAGACCTGCCCAGCACGCTATTTTCGGGACATCACTTTGTGTTCCAACAGGACTCTGCGCCTGCACACAAAGCCAAGACCACTCAAACCTGGTTTGAGCGTCAAAACATCGACTTAATTAGACATGAGGATTGGCCTTCCTCCAGTCCAGACCTTAATCCTTTGGACTATAAAATTTGGCAGGTCTTAGAGAGGAAGGTCTGTGATAAACCCCATAAAAATTTGGAGTGTCTGAAGTCATCTTTAAAAAAAGCAGTCACTGAAATCGACATGAATATGGTGCGTGCTGCGATAGACGACCCTGCGGCGCTTAAGGGCCTGTATTAAAAATAAGAGGAGGTCATTTCGAATAATTTTATGCTATTTCTATTTCTTAATTTTTGTACTATTAATTGATATATCACTCATTAAAAACTGATCAGTACTTTAGTTTTTATCATTATTTCTATTTATGACAGAACTTTGGGACCGACTACGTAAGTTTAGTCGTGGTCGCGGCGAAAAATGAATACAGAGTTTTTTGTTACTGAAATACTGGCTAGACCAGCTATTTGGAAGTCTGGTCATCCACAGCATTAACTTAATATACCTTAATCTCAAAAACAATTTTTCAGCGGAACTTAAAATTCTATTTGCATTAACTTTTTTCTCCAATTCTGGTTGAATATTCATAAGAATATAATTGAAGGTTTCAATACTCATTCTGGTATACTGAAAAAAATAATTCTGGATATATTCTGAATTTCTCATACTTCTTGTGGAATTCTCCACAATTTCTCCAAATATTAGGTCTTGCACCAAAAGCTATTACTTTCCAAGCAATATCGAGATGATTTCGATAAAGACATTTCGCTGTCGAACTTCCTTACTGGTCGCGGCGGCAAACGTGACTGGTCCGTGGCCTGCAAACGGCCCCACGCGAATGGTCGCCTCGCCTCCCGCATCGCAGTTCGCACCGCCGATCCCCGTGGCCAGGCCGTAAAATCGATTTTCGTTTAGTTTTTATACTTTACAGTCAAAACCGTTTGCGACGACATCGTTTAGAACAACATACCGGTTATATTGACCAAAATCAAAGGTCCCGGCTGAATTCTATTGTATTAGGTTTTTAATAACAACATCATTGGCTGTTTACAGAATGAAAACGGCTAAATGAAGAGGGCTATTCGTGCAATCTATAATTTAAAATGTAGGGAATCTCTTAGAGATAAATTGAAGGAAATTAATATACTTACTTTTCCCTCGCAATAAATTTATGAAAATATTATGTATGTATACAAAAATAGTGATAAGTTTACTAGAATAGAACGTACGCACAATGTTAATACACGGAACAAACGCAGGCTGCAATTTCCCCGTACTAGACTATCTAAAGTTAGTAATTCTTTTTTGGGAAAAGGGATACTCTTCTTTAATAAAATCCCAGAGGCTCTTTTATCTCTGCTTTTAATAAATTTAAGAAATGTATTAAAGAAAAGCTGTGTAAAAAGGCTTACTATAAAGTCAACGATTATCTAGTGGGGACTGGGGCCTGGGACTAGTGCTAGACAGGCTACTTCTAATTAATTTGCGATATTTGTTTTAAAATAAGTGTTGTTTGATGATTTGCTATTTTAAAAAAGGGTACCGAGAGTTTTTTACGCCGGCTTTTTCTCTCGGCCTACACCCTCTGTCTTCTTTGCCGATGAGTAGGGATGCCTACACATTCAAATTTAATGACGTGGAATAAGTGATACATGTATCTTATGTTCCATAATAAACATTTTTTTTTTTTTTACGACTATCGGTTTTTACGACCAAATATGAGTAGTCCCTTCGATGTCGTTATAACAGATTTTGACTGTATTTTTTATAATCTCTTCGTGTATGTTATTTGCCTTTAAGTGCTTGTCACATTTAAAATTGTATATTGTGGTACTTTTACCAATTGTTGCCGAGCGTTGGCAAGCTTTTATCAATAAAATACAAAAAATAGATTTAAAACACATGGAGTTAATCTTATCATTAAACTAATATATAATAGTACATTGTCTTCACATATAATTATTTAACTAATGTAAACAAAATATTGTAAACCTATTTTAAAAAAATAAGTGTGGAGTTTCTTTACCATTCTTCTCCACACGAAACTACCTTTTGGAAGGGGCAACTAAAATCTTCTTTGTATTGTGTTTGACGTTCAAAAGTGCCATTTTAGGTGGTCTAATTGAAATAAATGATTTGACTTTTAATAATTTGTATATTATAATATTTGGATAATAACGAAAGAAAAATGGTCTCCCCCAATATAATAAGATCAATAAAAAATAGTCCACTTGAAACTCGATTGGTGCTGTGTGTGAAAAATTTGATAGCGATATATCACAATGATAAATGATAAACACAAACCTGACATCTGATAAGCGGCTTAAGATTGACGTATTTGTGGAATAGAAATAAAATTTGGGTTCATGAACGGCCTTACCGTCTTATTATAGTATGCTATTTTTATATGTAGTGTATGTAGAAAGTCGAAAACTAAATTTGTATGAAAATTTGTCGACACGAACTATCATTTTACACACACTACTGTTTAACTTCAATGAATAAAGAAATTAAAGAGGTCATGGAAAACCCGATTATAACAAACAAAGCCAAAAAGAAAATATTTAATACATGTATTTTACCTGCCATGACGGATGTCAGACATGGAGTTGCACAAACAAAAATATTCAATCACTAGAAACTTTTCAACACCGAATGGAAAGAAGTATATTTAACATAAAAACTAAAAGATAAAGTTCGATAAACAACAATAAGAAAACAAACTAAAATTATAGACATAAAATACCGAATCCAACAACTAAAATGGAAATGGGCTGGGTAATTGATAAGAAGTATTACGGAAAAATGGACCAAAGAAGTTATGGAATGGAGCCCTAGACATAAAACGAGAAGTAAAGGTAGACAACATCGTACATGGGAAGATACATCTATTATTATATATTTTTACATGCTATTCTTCATGGGCGGACATAGCCCCTATTTGCTGTCGTTAATTTCTTTTAAAATTCCTTCTCAATATGCGACAAGACACCAAAATTGTTCCTTGCTGCCTCTGTACGAACTCGAATTACCTAATTCACCAATTTCGGGTTTATCTAACTATGACACTAATTATGAGGAATTTGATATTTTCCACCTCACCAAGGAACATGTGAGAAAATATTTGAAGGGCGGAAGACTCAATTTTGTTTAGGTTGTATTTGGTATTATTTTTGTTTTAAATATTAAATTTCAGTTTTCTGTATATATTTTTTCTATTGATGGCTTATTTGTTTCATTTTTTTATATAATATTGTTTATCTATGTAATCTGTTTTGGCTTTTTGTACTGTATAAGTGTTTGTTTTGTAATATTATGTATGTTAGCTGTAAGATTACTTATAATTAAATAAATAAATAAATAAATAATATTAAAAAGGTGGCAGGAGCGATATGGATGAGGAAAGCAACAGATAGATCTTTGAGGAGAACACTTGGGGAGGCCAATGCTGAAAAGCAAGACGATCATGAAACCGGTGTCTAATAGGAGATAATATGATAATATTTACATTACCTAAATTTCATTAATATCTAAGTAGAAATAAGTTAAAATGTAACTTACAGGATTGTCAATAAAGGTTATATTTATTTATTTAACGCGATATCGGTCTAATATATCATTTCAAATCCACGAATGAAGCTGTGATTTCTTTTATAGCATGTGTCTTACGTATATTTTCAATTTCCAGGCCCCTCAGCCACCGCAACCATGGGACGGAGTCCGCGACGCCACAGCTGAAGGCAATGTCTCCGCCCAAATTGACCAAATGTTCTGCACCCCATACACTGGCGATGAAAACTGTCTCTTCCTTAACGTATACACCCCAAACCTAGATGGTCAATTCTTGCCAGTCATGGTCTATGTACACGGAGGCGCTTTCCTCTTTGGTTCCGGTAATTCTTCACATTTCGGTCCCGACTATCTCATTGAAAAGGATGTCGTCGTTGTTACAGTAAATTACAGATGCGGTGCACTCGGATTCCTTAGTTTAAATACCCCAGAAGTTCCCGGAAATGCTGGATTAAAAGACGTCGTCCAAGCCCTTAGGTGGGTGAAACAGAATATCCAAAACTTTGGCGGTAATTCTGGTAACATCACTCTCTTTGGTGAAAGTGCTGGAGGGGCAATCACCTCTATATTAGCCGCTTGTCCCTTATCTAAAGATTTAATCAGCAAAGCAATAGCTCAATCCGGAACGGCATTATGCGGTTGGTCCCTACAGGTTGATCCAATTATGAATGCAAGGAAATTAGCCAAAGAACTAGGCTGTGAATCGACTGATCTGGGTGATATTTTAGAGTTTTTATTAACCACGCCAGTTAAAGACATTGTCGAAGCCAACACAAAAATAGATCCTATAAGTGGGCTATTCCAAAAGGGAGTCGTCACATTTGCCCCAGTTCTAGAAACTGAATTCCCCGGAGTGGAAGCGGTTCTGACTGAATCTTATATAAATAGCGTTACTTCTGGTAAAGTAGCTAGAATTCCTATCATGGTCGGTACCACAACTCTAGAATGTATCACAGAAAAGGTTGATGTACCAATATTCCTTGCTAATCAGCTGAATGTTACCAATCCAGCAGACGTAAAAACAATTGAAGGTAAAGTTAAAGAATTGTACTTCAAAGATTCTGAAGGTTTGCAAGAATCGTCGGTACTTTTATCTGATTTGCTAATTAATTATGGAGCACATAGATTCGTCACGAACTTGGCGAAAGTGTCTGATCAGCCAATTTACTACTACAAGTTTGATTATATTGGGGAAATGAATTTGTCAAAAAGGCTCCCAATGAGCTTAGGAGTTCAACATGCTGGACATTTGGATGAGCTGGGATACCTGTTTAAGGATGATCTGCTGAAAGACGCGGAACCGACTCCTCAAGACCTCACCATGAGGGAACGGATGGTACGGCTATGGACCAACTTTGCTAAGTCTGGGTAAGTTTTGTGGTACCATTATGCCAATTATATTTAAATAATTCAACATTAGTGACTATCTATGTCCCGCCGTTTTATTAGGTGAATTCGGTTGAAGCTTAGTGTAATATATGCCTTACATTTAATTTTCAATTACTTAATTTATCTGTTTTCTTAATTATTTGAACCAGCGCGTTTAACCAAACGTTTTGGCTTTATGTTATATGTTTAGTAATAAAATAGTAAATATAATATCTTAAAAAACCAGTGGCGCTAGGCGCAGTGGCCTGGGTCTCAGATTTCTGTACCTGTTTCACGATTATTTGTCAATCTAATAGGCAAGTAGGTGATCAGCCTCCTGTGCCTGATATATGCCATCGACTTCTTGGGTCTAAGGCAAGCCGGTTCCCTCACGCTGTTTTCCTTCAGCGTTGGAGCGTATGTTAAATGCACGCATGTACACAAAGGCCATTGGTGCACAGCCTGGGATCGAACCTACGACCTCAGGGATGAGTGTCGCGCGCTGAAGCCACAAGGCTAACACTGCACGAAGGCTTACATATTTAAATTTAATCTTTACAGAAATCCAACTTTCGAAGACAACTTCTACCTAGCGGTAACATGGACACCGGTAACTAAAGACAATATTTGTTATCTAAACATCAGTAATGAGCTTTCTGTAGGAACCAACCCCGATAAAGATAGAATGGAATTGTGGGATGATATTTACGCAAAATACTACAAACCACGCGAACAATTTGTTAACGAAATCCAAGCCACCGCAGATGTTGTTGATTCAACACCCGTGATAGTACAAGAAACAGTAATTCAAACAATCGTTAACAACGAACCGGCTGAAAATATTATCATTGTTGAAGAAACAAAAACGAATCTAGCCGATTTCGAGAAAAAGGTTGAAGAAATCAAAAGTGCTATGGACGATGCGTTGGCTCAAAACGGAACAGAAACCATAAATATCGTTCAAGAAGAAATTAAAGAGAACTCTCTGAGTAAGCTAATTGAGAATTCAGAAGGTGAAGAAATTAGATCCGTTCGCGAAATAGTAACCATTTACAAAGAATCGCACTCGAATGGCGTTGATGACCATAAACTAAATGGAAACGCTGATAAGAAACCTCGTCCGTCCAACGAAATTAAAATGGTCCAAAACAGCAATGCCGACCCTAAAGACGTGATTAGAGCCAACGACCCACCGGAAGACGATTTGCCCAAAAACATTGGTGTAAACAAATTCGTAAATTTCTTTGAATCGCTCGGTAAAAAGTGATTTGTTCCAAGAATTTACGCCTATTTCACTACCATTAAGTATATGAAATTTGATAGCTCCATTTCTTTTTGAACTGATATATCTTTCTAATGCGTCATTAACGTAATTGACGCGATATTATAATAAAGTTTAAAGTTATCTCTGGAATAATTAGAAAGTGCCAAAAATCTAGTCTGTCGATTGACTTAGATCATCGGGCCAATAAGCTTGTAATACATATTGCTATCCCTTACAATTTCAACATCATTGTAGGAGATAGATAACCTATCTCGAAAATCAAGGTATTCCTATAGGATTTATGTAATTGTTACGTGATGGCAACACTATCCATAGATTAATAAGTAGTTAACTATAAACAGTTTGACTTAAGTGTTGTGAAATGGGTTCCAAATATAAATAATAATAGGTTAGGGTAAACAGTTTTAGGCGCCATTTCTGAATTTAAAAAATATTCCATTATACATTTAAAACTTGTAATAATCATTTCTTATGTAATTACTTATTTAAAGTAACATTCCTTCGTGCATTTAATTGTAAATTTTGCATTTAATAACATCGAAATGTTTGACATTATCATTCCAATTTTGAAATCATTATTTAAATTTTACTTTCTATTTGTGTTGCTAGTTTTTAGAAATTTCCCAATTTTTAATGATTGTATGAGTGATGTCTAGTGCCTTTATATTTTAATTTTATTTTGTCGTATACTTCATATTTTTGTTTTCATATATACATTACACATATTTATATCTAGAAGATTGCATTAATTTAAAACGACTTGGTCGTATTTTTATGTACATGAAAATTTCATTATATTTTATACAGCTTTTAAGATATATTTTTGTTTGGAAAATAAATGTTATCTTTTAGAAAAGAATGAAGCTCTTAGTCTTAAAATTTCGTATGTTTTTACCTTAACACATTCCGGAAAGAATAGAGACATATACAACATATTTACTTCCATTATATTATCTTCACGTCACTTTATCTTTGCACGTCGTTAGAATATATTAAAAGTAGTATTTCCGCATATTCAATATGACGTCATTAATGTCATTTAACTGCCAAGATATTGTGACCGAATTTTGCAATCATAATATTTTTTTTTTATTAAATTTGCTTTATGTAGATACATTCTGTGCCAATACTATCATTTTTGTTAATTTAAGTTGAACAAGATGTGTATTTTTATATAATTATTATGAATAAATTATGATAAATAATTGTTGTTTTTGTCACTTTTTAATACCTACTTCCGATTTTATCGAGAAAGCAAAAACCTATTTTGTAAAAACTATTTTTATCATTAAGTCTTTTTCCGACTAAATATTACCGATATACAATTATATAAAATTAAACTAGTATTTTGACTATGAATTTTTAGGCCCTAATTAAATTTGGATAGTTATATCATTTGAACCATGTTAAAATACATAATAAAAAAATCTTAGTCAGACATGTTGTTTCACTTTAGGTTATTAGAAATGAAAACAATCATACATCATTTACAATGTTTATTAGCACCACAATAATTCGTAATAAACAATATTTTATACAGCTAGCGAATAATAAAATTAATTTAAGTGGTAACATTTGATATAATAAAGTGGAAGTAATTTCTTTAATAAATTTTGTCATGATTTGTATGACTAGCTATGTACAAATTATACAAATAAAATTAAAAACTATACAATACAATTTTATATACTCAATTTAAGGAATGTTTTAAACGTTGCCAGTGTTAAAATATGGAAGTGGTGGGAAAGGTATAGGTGACACCTAGATGGCGGTGTTTACAAAATATATTTTATTATAGAGTCGCTATTTTATTCTGCTACACGCAGGTTCATCAATTTCTATTGATACATATTCATATGGGATACAGTACAAAATTTATTAGATAATTTAATTTACGAATATATATTATATGAAATTATTGGCAGTTAGTTAAACCGAGAGAAATATAATATATAATTTGCTTTAATTGTAAATATGTTTAAACTGTTTAAAAAAGGACATGGAAAATCATTGTGTAGTTTCTTTTATAAATTATTTAACGGGAATTAAAATATACATACTATCATACCATTTTCAAATGTCTTGGATTAACTTTGCACCGTATCGTTAAATGTACTTATTCTTAGTTTAAAAAATTACCATACACAATTTAGTATCTACAAATAAAATCCTATATTGTAAACCCTACTTATCCTTTGGATATTTGTGTCTTCCACAGATGATAAATTATATCACCAATATAATTAACGTCAAATTTAATGTCCTTTTTGAATCTTTCAAAACTACTGTAAACGCACTTTTAAACTTCTAAACAGTAGGATCGCACTAAGAACTTTTAAACTATATAAAAATTCCTTCTTGTAAATTCTAGTGATTTTAGTAGGTTAAAAATAACTATTAGTTGTAAACACTTTTATTGAGAACACAGAAACAAAATTCAAAGATTTTATTAAAACCCTTTAAAAATGGCAATATTTTTTTTTGACATACTGTATCAAATGTTTATTTTGACTTGGAAGCTCGAGAAATACTATTACTAAGAATGAGCTATACTTATGAATAATAGGTAATTATTACAAGACCCAAACAAGAACATAAAATTTGACAGTAATTGTAGAAGATGATTTATTAAAATATTCTCGTCAACATCGTCCATAGACAGTAGAACACGAAGGCGTAGAAACAGATCCGCACTACCTGATGGAGGTAGTATAGTCTGTAATAAGAAAATTGTGTTTTTTACTTATTATTTACCGGCTTTTTAACTTCATTTTTCAATTAGAGTTAAAATAACCAAAAAATACAAGGTATAACTCATTTAAGGTATTGGCTATTTATTATTTTCAAGTAATTATCAGTTCAATGCTAGAATCGATTACAGTTAAAAGAAAAAATAAGTTTACGTCGGGAAAACCGGAATGAATTAAAAAAACGAAAAGGGTCTGCTATTGTCCCTACAAATACCTTTTCCACTTAATCCTGGCCTGAGGCAAGGTCTCGTCTCCCTCTTTGAAGAGGTACCGCCTGATACCTGCCAAGTACTCATCAAAGTACTCCTCCCAGTCTACTTGCTTCATGCTGAATGGAAATATCTAAAACCCAACAATTCGTAAAATTCAGTATTATACAATAGAAAAGTTATTATTTGTTCATTTACGTGACCGTAAAATTTATAACATTAAATTTAGGATTCATTATGATAAATTTATATTTTACATTATATATGTAAAACCTTATTTTAAAATAAATCCTTGATTTGCCAAAATTTCGCTGTTTTAACGAAAAAAAACGCGAATTTATTAGGTACATTACGTAAATATCACGGGCTTTTCAGCAATCGTTTAATGCTATAAATTCCCGTTAAAAGGTCTATCATTACATACGAATTGCTCATATCTTTATAGGCAATTCGTATGTTATTTTATTACTACATTATCATATTATTGAAATGTATTATTACATTATCTAATTGAATAATCAATGAATGAATCAGTGGCGCTACAACCTCTTTAGGTCTGGGCCTCAGATTTCTGAATCTGTTTCATCCAATCTAATAGGCAAGTAGGTGATCAGCCTCCTGTGCCTGACACACGCCGTCGACTTTTTGTATCTAAGGCAAACCGGTTTCCTCACGATGTTTTCCTTCACCGTACGAGCGAATGTTAAATGCGCACATAGAAAGAAAGTCCATTGCCGGGGATCGAACCTACGACCTCAGGGATGAGAGTCGCACGCTGAAGCCACTAGGCCAACACTGCTCTATTATCTAATTAATATTAATGATATTGTTTCACTCAAATAATCATTACCCTTAGTACCTATATTAAGTCGATTTTTAAAAATTACAGCACATGTTTATTAAAAAAAAAATATATGCAATATTAACTTTTTTATCTATTGAAACAAAAATAAACCCCTTGAATATACGCACAACTGGAAGCACGAAATTGGATATTAAATACTTGTTTGAGTTCGTCAATTTTTGAGTGAATTTTAAAACGTTTTTTCTGGGCACAGCCTTTATTACAAACAAAACTACTAAATATAAAGCTCATTGTAACAACCAGTAAACAAAGTTACCTGTTTATCTAAATCAGTAGTTTGATCCCAAAGTTCCCTGGTCCGTCGATTGCAGAAGGAAATCTCTTTCGTTGAAAAGTAGCAAATAACTGAAGAGAATTTGTGTATCTTCTTATAAACTTTGAGCATTCTGTAAAAATCATTTGTATGTATCTCTCAAGCGTAATTTCTCTTATATTCTATCACAACCCTATATTCATGTCCACATTACCAGGGGCCTTAGTCAAGATGCCTTAACAGTAGTGTATGTAGAACGTCAAAAACTAAATTTGTATGAAAACTTTTCGACACGAACTGTCATTTCCATACAAATTAAGTTTTCGACTTTCTACATACACTACTGTTAAGGCATCTTGACTAAGGCCCCAGGCCCTACACAGTGATAAGATTTTTGAAGGATCGGCCTCGATCGCGCGCCTGTCAACATAATTAATTATCAGGTGCAATTACAAGTGCAAGAGAATATCCGTAGTCTCGGTCTAACCCCTTCGGGAAAAGGCGTAATAGTATAAAAATTAATTGTTATTGAGAGTAATCTGTGAGAGTATTGTATTCGTCTGTCATGTGACACAAAATAGTCACAGATAAGAGAGAATTATAATATGTATGTCTAATATTATCTAATAATCTTGAAATTGTTTATAGTCAAACGGCAAAATCCCTATTCGCTATTGAGAGTTACAGAGTACAGATGTCAATGTCAAGCAATGATAATTTGTCGACAAAAACTGTCATTTTCATACAAATTTAGTTTCCGACTTTCTACATACACTACCGCGACTAAGCCTCAATTTATTGGCCCTAGTAGGTAAATATTAATTTCATGTACAAATAAAATTTGTTCAACAAAGACCTCCTTAGAGATGTTTTATTCCCTATTTTAAAAAAAATACAGATTATTTTCATATTTCAAAAATTGACTTACTGTGGTTTTCGACCTATACAAGACGAGAGAGCGTCAACAAAAGCTGCAGGAACCAGATGCAAGAAGAATATGTATATTTGGTTCATCAACGCTGACTTATTCAATGTTAGTGATATGTACCTGAAATATATAACAATGGATTT